GGCCGGGGGGAGGGGGGTGTCCGAGGCCTGGGGCGGAGAGGCCCCGTGGCCCAAACCTCCTGGGACCGACACCTCACAGCTCAGCCGCATGCGCTCTCCCCGGAGCTTGGCCTGACTACCACTACTTGAAATGTTGGGACATCCACATCTCTCCAACTCAGATGGAAGAGAAAAACCAACAACAACAACGACAACACCGGGCGCCGGTGCCTCCCAGCTACTCAGGAGGCTGAGATCTGAGGATCGCGGTTCAAAGCCAGCCCGGGCTGGAAAAACCAGAAGTGGCGGTGTGGTTCAAGCGGTAGAGCGCTCGCCTTGCGCTGAAGGGCGCAGGGGCAGCGCCCAGGCCCTGAGTTCAAGCCCCACCACCGACCAAAGCAAATAAATAAGAAGGCAGAAAATGAAAAAAGCCAACATGCGGGGCGCTCGCCCTTGGCATGTGCCCCGGTGTCCGGGTATCCCGGGGTCCCGGTGCCCCTGCGTCTGGGTGTCCGGGTGTCCCGGTGTCCGGGTGCCCCAGTGTCCGGGTGTCCCAGTGCCCGGGTGCCCCGCCCGGTGTCCCGGTGCCCCAGCGTCTGGGTGTCCGGGTGCCCCAGTGACCGGGTGTCCCGGTGACCGGGTGTCCCAGTGCCCGGGTGCCCCGGTGACCGGGTGTCCCAGTGCCCGGGTGCCCCGGTGTCCGGGTATCCCGGTGCCCCGGGGACCCCCCTACCCCCGCCGCGGCGCTCACCTCGCACTCCTGCTCTCTGGCCGAGCAGGACTCGCTGTCGCCCTCCGTGTCCGTCTCCGAGTCGTCGCCCAGGCTGATCACGCAGGCGTAGGGGCAGGGCTCCTGCTGGGGCTCGGACGCGTAGCCGTCGTTCCCCGCCTCCAAGCCACCGGCGCAGCCCTCGGCACCCAGGGTGCTGATGAAGGGGCAGTGGACGGAGCTCAGCGTGGCGAAGGTCCGCGGGCCCGGCTCCGGGCTCTCGCTGATCCGGATGCCCAGCCAGGGGCACTCGGGGCGCTTCTGGGCGTGG